TTGGGCTCTTTGGCCACTTGATCAACGTCCGGATTCTCAGCCCCTTGTTCAGCAACTTGAGGTTCGGAGACCCTAGCCGAACAAAACTCGGAGGACAACACTATGTCCAAAGCAGCAGCCTCGGCCGAGCTCACTCCCTTGGAGTCTTGGCCAGCCTCAGCAAGAACGGTGCCTTCAGGCACCAAGGGACTTTTTCCCTTCTTTTTTCTTCTAGTTTCTGGGTCCACCTGAATTCCTAAAGGAGGACCCCCACGAGATAGTAGGTTAGCCGCAGCAGTAGTGTCCGCCTGAATGTCAGAAGATGGCCTATAGCTGGTATGTTGGGTTGTATGGTGTTGGGGATTTTTGTCGGACGACCTTCCTCGGCCAGACCGAGCGTCCGCCTGAACTGTAGGAGAAGGTCTTTCATAAGGTAGCAGCTCGAACGACAACAAGACCGAGCTGGTGTATTGCGGAAGGCGATGTTCCACATTTTGGTCGGACGCCTCAGTTTCTCTTCTCCTTGCCTGTCCAGTAGAAGGCTGGGAAGTTGGGTTTGTTTGAATGTTCTGGCCTGATGAGGAGGTCGTAACCTCCACTACGGAGTAGGCGCTCCCACTGAAGTCAACGTCCGTGGAGTCCACGTCCGTGTCATTAGGGTTCATAGGCACTAGTGGATTTACTGGAGTGCCGTTTGAATTCCTGACGGCGTTTAGGTCGTATGTTGTTCTCGTACGCGCCATGTTCGACTACAGGGACAGAGAAGAATAGGCAGGGGAGAGTTAGTATGCACTAGAAATGGACCCACTCCAAAGAGAAGAGGAGTCATCTCCGTCCACTCTAAAACCTTCAGACCTAGGTGAACGACCGACCACTTGAGGAGAAACGGACGAATCCAAGTGATGTGCCAGTTCGTGTTTGAAATAAAACAAGTATAAGAAGAAAGGAAATAGGTTAAAAAGGAAACAGGCGGTTACCTCTGTACGAGTTTAAAACCCTGAAGGATTTGAAGATCTTTGAAGTAATCAAGTTGCAACACCACCAGTTGACCGACAAACTCAAAGACTTGATCGGAAAACTCAAAAACCTAACTGGAAAATTCAAGTATACGGTAGAGCTCTTGAAGATTAAGGAAGAAAATCACTTTCTCTCTAAATGCTCTAACCTCTTTCCAAAAAGCACAAAATTCCAAAGTGATTTTATGGAGTCAAACAAGTCATATATATAGGCAAAATTTATAGGGGCAAAATCATAAAGTTACCTTTCCCGCCTCGAAGTTCAAACGACTCTTTTTGAAAAAATTTAACCTAGAACCCCAAACAGTTAAAAAACCGCTCCATCAATAAAGAGAGAGAAGGTGTACGGTTACCCAAACATCACGTCAAAATAAACGGCCAGGACAGCAAATTTGAACTGTTGATCTAGAAAATACGGAGGACAGGTGTCTCACCTAACATCAAGCAGCACCATTCATCCGTCTGATTCCAAGACCTCAATCCAAGATGAAATCAGGTAGACGGCCCAAGGCAATTAGCGCAAAGGAATGCTCCCAAATTATGGCGGACGATACAGTCCGCCCCACAACGAAATTACTCAAATAGCCCGATACTAAAACATACCTGGACGAATGAAAATCAGAGGAGGAGGCGGCCCGTGTGGTATGAGCCACCCCCCTCTGAGAGGCAAATGTTTAGGGTAAAAAATACCGCATTATGTGGTCCAATCCTATAGTGACACGTCGTCCAGCGAAAGGGCGATACGTGGTCCAGTGAAAGGGTGACACGTGTCCCAATAGAAAGATGACACGTGGCAAAACATAAGAGCACCTCAATGAGAGAAAGCCTCATTATATCAAGAGGCCCAATTCCCTAAAAAGTGCATGGAAACGGCGCCCCCTTTGGACACGTGTCCGACTTTGATTGCGTCGTCAATCAACGCCCACCATTTTAGGTCATCAAACCCTCGATGACACACATTCCCACCCCTATAAGTACCTCAATCATTTACGATGGGAGGGGTGAATTGAGACATATTATTTTTTGCATAGTGAATCGCTCTAATTTCTCTCTACTTTCTCTCTCTAAATATTTTTGTTTTTCGATCACTAACTTGATCATCGGAGGCAAATATTCCATCAAACGGAATATTCGTTGTTTTGCAGGTGTCTGCAGCCGTCCGATTATATTCACAACCTATATCCCGAGAGATTCTAAAAACCCCGAAACACCCTTCCCCGTAGAGTCTCATTAGAGTGGCATTCCCCCATCTAAACCACAATCCCTTTCTCCATGGCCCAACATGCCACAACAATAACAGAAGACTGGAAGCTTCTCATATTTTACATCAATTTTTCTGTAACTCCTTCTCTCAGTTTCAGCCGGACCTTCTTGACCAGGGGATTTATAGCGTCAATCATTGTTCTGATTCTCATAGATTTATTCACTCCAATTGTATCAGAGTTATCCACCCCAATAAAGATGCCCATTTTGTTACCAATCATTCTGGCATTAATTTCATTTGTTCGACCTCTAATTGGCAAAGCATAAATGCGAACCTAGAAAGGTATATAGTACAATTGCACATCAGATATACGGGTGTTACCTTCGACATCACTTAAAACAATAACATGGTGATCAAAGTGCCATGGTTGGGAATCCATCACGAAAGCTTTGTCTTTCCAATGATGAAATTGGAAGATAAATAGGTTCTTGCCGACACAATTTGCTTCCAGTCCATGTTTCGGCTTCCAGATTTTTTGCATAAGGGAAATCAATGTGTTTGCATTGATGTTACGATCAGTCCATACCTTACCCACCACTCCAAGTTCAATTTTCGCTACCTCTTCCTCCTCCTCCCCTTCGTCAATCCAATCTATCTCCTGATTATCCTCGATATATTCTGAATTGACCACTGTCTTTTCGTAGTACTCGCCATTGAAAGAAACTGGGAACTCGAGAAAAAACCTTCAAAAAGGATGAAGTCTAGGAAGTCTAGAGAGAAACCTTCCTAAGAGAAAACCTTAAAGGGAACTTTTTTTTTTGGTAATAGGCGAGTTTGATGAATAAATTAGATGAAACTCGTTGTTTTTCATATAATATTTTGTATGGTTCTCTTAATCCCTTAATCTCTATACTTTTTTAAACATTTTTTTTTCAATAAAAGGCCTATTGAAAAAAACAAAATTATTGTTTTATTTAAGTTAACAATAAAAGGCCTATCTAACTAGTTTATTTTATTTATGTAGCGATAGATTTTTCTTTTTTTAAAAGAAATTGCAAATCTTTTTTATCATCCACTAAAATACACCACTTTTCTATTTAGCGATTTTAAATCTCTTGAAAAAACTTTTCTTTAATACTAGTTTTGTGCTCGAGCGATGCCTGAATTGTTTATTGAATTTTAGGATAAATCTTTTAGCTCAAATGCCAAATCACAACACAATATATAAATATTACGTGAGGTAGTAATTTTTTTTATTTTTTTTTTATTTTTTTTATTTTTTTTATTTTTTTCATGTTGGTATGTGTTTTTTGATAAATATGTTGGTATTTTTGATACAATGTATCATACGACAATCCTATTAAATTGTAAATTTTTCATTTTTAGCCGATTACAATATAACATAAATGGATTTTTATTTTCCCCTAAAAATATAGAATTTTGTTTTATAATACTTTTAAAATGAATGTTATGAGGTGAATATAACAAAATTATGATATATTTATTGAAAGCATTAGCTATTTTATGCATATGAAATATTAGAAGTTTTGAAAATAAAAATCTAAACCAAATTTTTATTCTAAAAAATCAATCAGTATAGCACTGTATTAATGCATAATTGTCATCTATGTGGTGAGAAAGTTGGCAAAAAGTTGGAATGTCAAGTGTCACTATTTTATTACTTTCTCTGTATTTTATTATTTGCTGCATTTCTCTTGAATACGTATGACAATGCAAATCTTTGCTCACTAAAATCTTTAATTATCAATAAATATAAATTATAACAATTGAAAAATTAATAATCTACTCATTGATAGTACACTTCCAACAAATACCCACAAGGGTATATTTTTTCTTATGAATAAACAAGTATTAGTCAAAGTTGGTCAAATAAATAGTGCAAATAGAGCACGTAATAAGATTCGTAGGGAGAATCTGACTAATTATGTTGTTTATCCATAAACAAAGATAGTTTAAGCGATCAATAAGATTAGAACATTATCTTATAATTGTAAATACCTAATTGTGTTTCTTCAACAAACACTCCATGGTTGAAAGATATATTATCTCCTAATTTGGTTTGAAATTTTTGGTCCCTTAAATATTCTTGATTTGAAATCAGAAGAGATACATACAATTATAAAATTTAGGTTAATAATAGATATCTACTATATTTATTTCTTAAAAAATTGCTTTGAATCTTAGGCCTTATTCTCCTCACCATAATCTTTCTAAAATGAGATTATTTTTGTTGAAAATATATAATTATTTCTTAACTTAATTATTTTTAGCAACTAAAACTTATTTTTTATTAATTGAAATTAATTATACGGAATGTTATTTGAATAAGGTGAACAGAATAGGGTCTTATTACCATGCTTTATTTGACTAAGTATAAAGTAATTAATTAATAAAATATGGCCTTATACTTGTTTACTTTTTACAGGAAATTGCATGTAGTGCATGTTATTCTAAATAAATTTGATTGTTTTTTAGGTTTGTTTATAAAAAAAAAAAAAATAATAATAATAATAATAATAATAATAATAATAATAATAATAATAATAATAATAAAATAAAAATTCAATATGGAGTATTATAAAACTACACATTAAGATAAATTCAACAAAATTTCACATGATTTCTCAAGATTGTTGAACTAAAGTGGTGAATGATGCAAAAATTACTACATATAAGGGTAGTAGCGTGGAGCACCTACAAAGGAAACACACATAATAAGGAGTAGAAGACATAAAGGAGATGAAAATTCATGTGATGAAGAGAGAAAAAGAGAACACATCTAAAAACTAATTATAACAATTAAACATTATGCTGCACAAATGAAATTTGTTAGTGTTACACTGTTGGATGATTGCACATTCACCTTTTGCCACTTGCTAAGACCTCTCGTATTTCACTGGAAAGCTACAGAACATACTTTCAAGTATTCCTATGTCAAATTTCCTATAATCCACAAAACCAACCTAATTGCAAATAGATTGGCATAAACCAATAAGGATGTTTCAACATGCTCTTTCTTATTATATGTTACCTCCATGCTTCTGTAATTCAACTACTTTGTACTTCTATATGAATATCTCAAGTTATTCACCTTGTTTTTTCTCTTTATAAAAATAAATGATTAAATAAATATATAAACAGAAAAATAACCTCTTTTTCAGGCACCAGTCACCAACATATGGTGTTCTTCAGTAAAATATGCAGAATTTTCTTCTACGTACAACCTCCTCTTGTTACTGGTGCTGCACAAATGTTGCTTTTATGTTAATAACCCAAAAACACATCTCTGCAACCTTCTGAATCTTCTACCAAACCCAATTGAAAAACCTTTTTGTAACACAAATTTTTGTAATCGCGTATCGATCAAGGGCATAGTGCTAAATAGAGTGTTGTGCCCAGTTTAGGACTCCATTATAGCTCAAAATTCATGTTCATTATTGGTCACGAGGCTATAAATGTTGCTTGTAATGGCCACAGTACTTGAAAACACTGCTAACGGAATCATTACCCATGATATAAATCTATCTTTCCTTGTTGCAATGCCGTGGTTGTCTCTGCAAGAGTATATAATTCCGTTAAAAAGGGCAGGGAATGAATCGGAGTGGAAAACTTGGAAATAACAGACAACTTATATGATAACTCCACCACAAGATTACACATTTCCTTTTCACTCCAGGATACAAGCCATGCTGACTTAAGCATATAGAAGTCAAGTGAAGTGACAAATCAATTTCCACTGGCCTCAAGCAAAGAGAACAGGTACAAGTACGTATCAAACTGACAAACATGCCAAAGACTCAAAATCTTGGACTCGGACCTTGTCCAAGAACACTGGTACAATAACGTGGCATTTATGGAACATATTCCAGATACTAATGACAAACCCACGTCAACTCACCTTACAACCACATACACACAATTTTAATTGACTTGAATAAATGTTTTGGTTAAAAGTTAAAACCCCCATATTCAAGCACATCCACGACTTTTTTTGATTTTCCTTCTAAAAGTTTGTTTTCACTACAGTGGAGTTAGGGTGGGAATCCAAAAGGTATGCGAGGATTCCATACCCTTCAGAGTGTTGTGTCCAACAGGGGTTGAACTGCTGAGCTGTCTTAAGTAACATAGATGATAGATCAATAGTCAAGATTATTAAAATGTTACAACTAAAAGGAGCATTACTCACCTAAGGGCAATTGCAGCTGGTATGATGTATCCAACAGATATAGTAGCAGTAGCACCGGTAAACTGAAATGCATCCCATATACTAGGCACATAGTTGGCACCCAGAAATATAAAACCCATTAGGCATGCAGTCAATGAGTAGAATCTTTTATTATCATATCCTATGGGTATGGCATGTGGAAATAACAGCCCATCCACATTGAGACGAAGGGAGTAGAATACAATGGGGAACACAAGCATCAAGTGGACACCATAACTCACTCTAATCACATCATCTAACAGTGAGCTATATGGAATCCCGAGGTCTCCATCAAAATTAGCAAGCACATCGTCTAGTGTCTGTTCCCCAAACAAAAGAAAGCCAAAAAAGCTGGTGGCAACGTACACAGAGGAACACAACATGAGTGACGTTTTAACAATTGACTTCATTTGAGAAGGGTCTGTAAGTTCATTCTCAATGGGATGCACTGAAAAATAAGTAACAAACAACTCAGTTTGAGATCATAATTTGAAGAAGCACTAATATCAACAAAAAATAGCGTTCCAGCCAAATGAAATGAAAGACAATAACATAAATCTGAGACTTGGTAGGCTAAAATTTAGCAAGCATTATCTTCAGATGATTCAGCAAGAAAGGAAAGTACAAGCCAAAAGACACTTAAAAAAGTTTTTTTACGTAACATGGTCCTCATAAGGATTATTATTATAGAATGTTCTTGACAATGATCTACCCTGCATAATTACACCATGGTACGGCTAGCTTAGCAACCATTTTACCACAAGCCTTACAGCATAAATACAAAAAAATTGTTTAATTACAGTCTTATCACCACAATAACATAATAAAATAATATAATCAAATAACAGTAAGAGGCCAACAATAATAAATGATAAGGCAAAGAACATAGATACCTACAGTTATGTATCATAGGTAGAGAGAGATAAAAACAAATTACCATTGTGGTGGCAAATATATGCAGTCACTAAAACTGGAATTGTCGTAAAGAGCTTCCAGAATGAAGCTTGGTCCACTACTTTGGGAAACAATGGAGGCATTTTTATGGTCCCCTCCAACAACTTTACAATAGCTACTCCTGCTGTAATTGCAACGAACACAACAGCCAAACCCACAGACAAAGCTGATGTATACCTCAGTGAATCTAGAAAATCAGAAAGGAAAAAAAAGGAATTAGAAACACCCAACCAATTGCACAATAAAAATGTTACATGCACAACAAGTTCAGCGGTATCATTTTAGTGCAATCAGAGCAGCCGTACAAATCAGCATTGTAGTCAAAACAACGCCACAGCCAAAAAAAAAAAAAAAAAGGCAAAAATCAATTTGCTTCCAAAAAATTACAGGATAGACCAATTTACAAAATCTAAGTATTTAACTGTTTTTGAATATTAATTTTCAAAGTAACCTTTGTTCCTCTAACTAGTACATATCTCAATTTTCAAGACAATTTCTTGAATAACCACTCTAATCTGATGTTTAAATTTTCTTTTCAGAGAGCACCAAATTACCATTTCATCTTGGGTGGGATCAAGTATTACTAAAGTGGTCTAAAAACAAAAGGGAAGGGATAAGGTAGATTTTTAATAAAACAAAAGTAGAGGAAGTACAAAGAGTTATTTTACCTATCAAGAGTGCTGAAGAGAGAAGTAAAAGAGAGAAAATGTGGAGAACATACAGTAGTATTACAGAAGCATTTAGCACATATAAAAATTTCAAGCAAAAAAAAAAAAATCCATTTTTCTTAAAAAAAAAATAAAAAATAAAAAATAAAAAAAAAAAAAAAAATTCACTTTCAAAATCCATCTATATTTGAAAAGATTTAGCTTATTCATTACAGAAAGGGGGATCCCTCCAAACCCATGCATTGCTGCTACAACATTCTTATCAACTAATCACTATTCAAAAAAGAAACCAATATCCATCCTCAAATCTCTTTCCTAATATCAAATGTAAAAAGATAAAAACCATTAAATTTTTTTTATCATAAAACAGATAAAAGGACACGATTTCTGAGTTCTTTACTTATCTCAAGTCAATAACTGCACTTTACTAGTAATATTTGTCTTAACTTCACCAAGCTGAATTTTTCATGACATCACCAAAGAAAGATTTGTGTATTACATAAAATAGATTGTCCTATGTCCTATGCTCCGGTAGGAATCTCTTTAAGTGTTTGTTCACTTTAATACACTTAAGCATCAATTGTATATCACAATACAGATTCAACTGGTTACCAAAGAAAATGCTCCTCCTTTCTCACAAAAAAACTCTTTGCAACATGTCAAGTTCAAGCTTCTCCTAAGAATTTCAAGTACTCCCTCGGTTCCTAAATGTTCTTTCCATTTTGACTATTCACATTTGCCAATGTAAGACTTTGACCATATATATTGTTAGTTGTACATTAGTAAAAAGAATAAAACAATTGAATATTAACAAACTACTCATTAAGACGAATCAAATAAGACCCAACATGATTATGCTATGTTGTATATATTAAGAGTAATTTCGAAGATTATCTCATCTTACGAATAGTGTCAATATTCTAAGGGGAAGAGCTATAAGAAACAAAGGGAGTACTTCGTAATTTGTAAGTTTTAATGGCAATAGAGTGAGTGGGGAGATTCCATAGGACTGCCATAAGACCAGTGTTTGCTCTATAGTACCGAATGTTAGGCTTCGAAGAAGGAGCACATTAAAAAGATGGAAGTTACGGAAATGCGCATATTAAGTTGGATGTGCAGGAACGCTCTAAGAGAAAAATCAGAAATGAAGTTATTCGCAAGAAAGCGGGTGTCGTAGACTCGCAGGTATTGCAGACAAACTAAGGAAAAATCACTGCTTCACGCATGTAAGATAGAGACCCTAGGGTGCACTAGTACGAAGAGTGGAAAAGTGGATTATGGAGAGGTTAAACGAGGTACAGGGAGATCGAAAATGATTTGGTTGGAAGGAGTTAGGAAAGATATGAAACATATGGATTTGCATAAGAATGAGGTATTTGATCGTAAGGGATGGAGGAGGAAGATTTTTGTGGATGACTATAAGGAATAATTGCTTTTGGTTTTGCTACCCCACTTATGAGATCAAGGCTTTGATTGATTAATAGAGCGAGTGGATTTCTGATAACATGATTCTCATCTGGATCTCTTAAATTTCATGCTTCAATTCATCTCTTTAGCAAGTTTAGAACCTTAAGTTTCATAGTTAATTCCTCCAATTGGTCTAGCACTCTAGCCTATAACAATTTTTCTTCTCAACACTAATCTCATATGTCATTCAATTAAAGTATATTGAATCCACTTTTATGAAAAACTAGGAATTTAGAAAGGGAAAAAAAAAAAAAAAAAAAAAAAAAAAAAAAAAAAAGAGTATACCATGTACTTGCTCCATTTTTTACCTTGGAAATCTTAATGCCATAATGCAGTTTATACTTGCAATAGATTTGACTTTTACACTATTCATTTGCTTCACTTTGACTAGCATTGATGATTTATAGCTAAGAAAAAATATAGTCATGTGAAATCTTGTTAGATTTGTCTCGATTTATACTATTTTAATGTCAAATGTTTATAATAATGATATTAGCAATTGAAATAATGCATCAACAAAGAAAAGTGTTGCAAGTATATAAGAAACATTAATTGTATATTAGTAAAAAGAATGATTGATCTCTCGATCTTCATTCTTTGAAAAATATAGGGAATTGCTTGTATTCAATTTCCTTAACAACACTAGGTTTGTCTCCTTGGAAGAGATCAATATTAAACTGCTTCATCAACATGGCTAAAATCGTTCTTCTTGACAGTGACATTGAAATATTAGCATCTAGCTCATATAGAGAATGGCAACATTGTAATGACGTGGTTACATCTTAGATCACTAATACATTGACTAAGGACATTAGAAAGAGTATTTTCCAAAAATGAGTTGTGGGAGAGATTTGGCCAAAGCCAATGATGCACAACTTTACCGAAATTAAGAAAACCTCATTAAAGGGTTCAGATATCAACTGTGGCTATTTCACTTATATCAAGTAGTAGTAGTTAGAATATTTGGATGGTTCCTAGTGGCTCTTGCATTGCACTAGTGAAATTCAAAGAAAATAGCAAAACATGAACACTGTTACTGACTTTATTCACAATCTTTATGCCTCAAGTGCTAAATTTCAACACTCTGAAATGGGTACAAACACGACACTTCATCTTGATTTTTGTTTATTCAAGCTTAAGAAATTATGAAATCTCAGTCTCTTCTTTCAGTGTGGAATCTTCTACTACGGTGTTTTACAAACAACACAAATCCAGATTTGGTTCTGGTTGGAATTAAGGAATTAATAACAATTCTGGAAATTAAGAAAATAAATTTTAATTAAAAAATAGAGTTCTAATGTTTGCTGTAAGAATGCAAGCATTCTACTGAAAGAATATTTGAGCTGCATTCTAAATAGAAGTTTGCCAGAAACAAGAAGGCAGTTAGTGTGCAATCAATGCTCTAAAAAATCAGCCAGTGTCAGCATATTCAGAAAAGGCATCTGACACTCTGACTAGTGACTAGTAGTCTTGTACAGTTTTTGTTTTATTCTTGGGAGCAGTATCAGTTCACTCTTCTCAGTTAATATCTAATATCTCACATATCTCATTATGGTGATCAAACGCACAAGAGCAGGTAATTGGCATTGTTTAGTTTCACACAAGTGGATCATAGACAGTGGAATCTCTTATCATATTTCACCATATAGTTCATTTGATTGACAACCAACATAAACCTTATTAACCTAGTACAGCTACTATCCAGAACGGAACAAAAGCTTCTGTCCAGCAAGTTGTTAGTAATGAAATTTCCCCTGAACTTATTTTGAGTACTTCAAGTGTCACAATCCATCTTACCTCCTTTATGCCAGCAAAATAACCAAATAATTGCAATTAAATGTTGTTTGTACACCTCAATGCCTAATTCAGCCTATTCAGGTTCCTTCAAAATACATTCTTGTAGCTCTTGGTTGAGGACCTTATGGAAAAGACTGCGGATTATGAATCCTCAAACAGAGAAGCACTGAATATCTTAAGTTGTGGCCTAGATATGATTTTTTTTGTAGTAAACTGTTTATAGTTCAATAACAGTTTCATGGCTTTCATCTTCCTATTGACTGACTGAATCTGTTTCAGATACAAAGGTATACAAAACTTCACATTTCTTTTTTGATGTTATCAATTCCCTAAAGGAAGATTTCATCTAAATTCTTTCAGTTCCAGCTTCAATGAATATGCTAGTCTTCGAACTTGTTTATATTGATATATAGGGTCATTATCCTAATATTACATTTTTACTCATGATGGCTACACATATTTTCCTAACATATAAACTGATTTTTCTAGAGGCACTTAAATCTTAGCTGCCACATATTTGATTATAAATTCACCTAGTTCTATCTTGAGTTTTTGACCATAACCAAAAAAAAAAAAAAAAAAAGAAAAAAATTCAAATGAGGTCCTTCACAAACAATGTTCATCCGAAAATCTCTTCAGCATTTGGAAACTTTCAGCTTCCCATGAAATTTAAAAAAAAAGAAAACATAATATTGACCATAGGGTGGTAAGCCTATAGTTTCTTGGGCTATCCTGATGAAAGGGCCTAGATCGTTGAAACGTTCAGAATCTTGAAACTGCACCTTTTCCTTTTTTTTTTTTGGTTATCAATCCCCTAAAGTGGGTGTGGCAGGCATTGCAGACACAATAAGGTAAAATCGCTTGCGTTGGTTCGAGCATGTAAGACAGAGACCCGAGGATGCACCAATACAATGAGTGGAAGAGTTGGACCATGGAGGGGTTAAACGAGGGAGAAGGAGACCGAAAATGACTTGGTTGGAAGGAGTTAGGAAGGATATGAAGTATATGGATTTGCATGAGCACGAGACAGTTGATCGTAAGGGATGGAAGAGGAAGATTTTTGTGGATGACTATACGGAATAATCACTTTTGGTTCATAATACTAACCCCACTTATGGGATTAAGGTTTTGATTGATTGATTGATCGATCGATCCCCTAAAGGAAGATTTCACCTACATTGTTTCAGTTCCAGCTTCAATGAATATGCTAGTATCATTGAATTTGTTTATAACTTAATATTGATATGTAGGGTATGTATACTTATATTACATACTCATAATGGCTACACATATTTTCTCACCATAGTAACTGAGTTTTCTAGAGGCACTTAAATCTTAGCTGCCACACACTAGGTTATAATGTCACCAAGTTCTATCTGGTCCAAGCAAAAAAATTCAATAAAGTCCTTCACAAATAACATTAATCTAAATATCTAATCAGCAAATGCAAACTTTCAGTTGCTGTGTTTTCCAGCAACTGAGGAGAAGTTAATAGCATGGCACGAAAATACAGCTGCATAGTTTCTTTTGTAAGGGGAATTTTAATGGCCAAACCAAAGTTGACTGGTAGTTCAATATTGGGTGTTTCAAAAGCCAGAGATCTCAGTCGAATTAGATGTTTTAACCCTCACATTGAACCTTGCATCCCATATTTCACTCAAAAAAATCTTGTTATTTAGAGATAAAGTGAAAGATCCCTATGTATCCTCAATAGTGGCTCTAAGTCTAAGCCTCTAACAGTCTACTCTAACTTATCTAATAGTGTACAATTGTTATATAATCCTACAAGAACTTGCATATCGTGACAATAGCAACACAATCTGCAAACAATGCATCATTTAAATTTCCGACAATCATGACCAAAACTATATATATTTTTTTATAAGTTGATAGAACCAATTAGAAGGTTGTTACAAATCAGCTATAACACAAGTAACATCAGTTGTTTTTTTTATTTTAAGTCTTAACTCTGCAGAATTTTTTTTTTTTTTTTTTTTTTTTTTTTTTTTTTTTTTTTTTTGGGGGTAAATAACAGAAATTCCTAGTCTTAACTCTCCAAAATAAGAAATATCTATTATTTTCTCACACAAAAATATTTGCATCATGTAAAGTTCAAGCCTTTAATACTGCATTGAAGAATTAATAGTAATATGCAACAAATGCACCACCTAGAAACATCACAAAATCATAAACATTATCCCATTACTCTCTTGTTGAGAGTGGGATTAATGAATCAGACACCATTGCAATAATAGAATTATTCAGTATCAGTCTAGAATCTGGTATTTTATGAGGCTTATGACCATGTTTTTTAATATTAAATGACTATAGTAGGAAGTTTAAGAACCTTAATATCCAAACAACTACAAACAAAAAACTATCATAAGATGTTTTGCATTAATTTCATCTCTTGAGTCATGCCCAAACATCAATATTACTCTAGACCAACCAAATTCAATTAATTAATTAGTCAGCTAGATAATAAACCACGCAAATTTCCTCACTCTAGCCGTCAACTACTCTTGCTGTAACCACATCAAGGTACCACAAAATCTAAACAAAACCGGCATCAATTCAGAATTGGTAATCCCTTAGCACACTTTATGAATAGCCTACTCTAATTTAATACTGGTACTATGGCTTTTCACACCATCCTCATACAAAATAGATTCTAGATTATGCTTTACATTTTTAAAACAATAAAGTTACACCCTACAATCTGTGAAAAGTTAAAATGCCTGTTAAGATAACAATAACAATATCTCATGATAAAGACCAAAGAACATGTAGTTGGTCAAATCATTTTGGTTACCTTACACCTCAAAAGCAACTAACTTTTGCTATTATGTGACAAAGACTTTAAGTACTTGTATTGTGTACGATATGTTATAGTTTCGAATCCCTGTCTCCCATTTGTAATTAATAGAGTATATATCAACTTCGCAATCATATATCCAATTTGCCTTGCATTAACAGATAACTAAATAAGTAATCAATCAATCAAACAAAAAAGATGGGATTACTCACCGACACGCTTAAAAGAAATGAGAGGCGCAATAACAAAACATGTTGTGAGAAGGAGCCAAATTGAGCGTGACGTCCACCACCATTGTTGTCCAAACCATTCCTCCATTAATCCTTTATGGTGTGATAATCCCTTTGTCACTGTTCCGGCCAACACATCCCCTGTTTCCCAATAGAAACAGATAAAATTCAAACCAACAATCAAATCAAATAAGCAAAACACCAATCGACTCGTAATTTTGTACTGATTCTGTATTAATTCATTACAAAATCATTTAAATTCCTGAAAATAAAGATTAGAATGGTACCAATGATGATCAAATAGACGACAAGCAGCCCAAGATTGTTGACAATAATGCAAACTTGCGAGATAGTACGACCGAAAACACCGAAAGCATCGCCAGCAACAGAAGAGTAAGAGTTAGACTTATAGGCCTTACTGAATCGAAGAATCATATCGATTGAGAATTCAGTCATAAAAGCGGCGAGGATAATTAGGGTTACACCAAGAATAAGGCCGAGCTGCTTGAAGGTTGCGGGAAGAGCCATTATTCCGGCGCCGACAATGGTGGTGGAGAGATTGAAGACGGCGCCTGAGAATGAGGCGCCGTCGAAGCCCTCGGCGTGTTCAGTGGGGTGAGGGTGGTGGTGCTTGTCGTAGTAGTGGTGGTGTTTTTCAGGGAGAAGTGGGGTTTTAGGGATTCGCCGGAATTTACGGTCGCCGGCGAAGGCGGAAGTTAGGGACATCTTGGAATTGGAGGAGAGATAAGGAGAGATTTGGGGAAGTGGGGTATTTGAGCGGGAAGGGATTTTGGGTGATTAATGCGGGGTTTGTGGAATGATGACCAATTAGTGGTGACCGTGTGGATTTATCGAGTAGAGTTAAATTGCCCGGATTACAAATTGGCCGGAACAGTGTCCAATTTGTGGAATGAAGGTCTTTACTTGGCTTTTTTGAGCTAGACTTGATGAGGAATGCTCGAGCTCAACCATGCTTGCAAACTTACAGCGAAGGAAGGATGTCAACAAGTACTGTAATTGGAAAAAATTTGCGTGGCCTGGTGTAGGCACGGAAATTTTATCAAGTCTCGTTACATAATATTCGGGTCAATGTCAAATGATTGACTCGTAAATATTGACTAAATAATTAATCTGGGTTACTTTAACCCATGTTATTTATTTTAATTAGACTCATTTAATTAATAATAAAGTCCAACAAATTGGATTTAATTGTAATTTAAATGGGATATTCATAAAATGAGGTGCATTTCGGGGTTTTTTATGTGTCCTGCGAGGGAGTTACGTCACCAAGATTGGGTCCTCGCTGGTTGTACCTGCAAACAAACGGAAGCTCCGACTGTTCGGAGTTCTGCCTACGACGATCAAGTTAGTTCGTGTTCGGAGTAAAAAGCGGAAAGTAAAAGTAGATCTTCTTGGATCCCGAGATTAGGTGTTTTCTCTGTAGTAAAAGAATTGATTGTGATGTAATGATTGAATGTGTCCCCAAAATGAGATAAATCTCTCTATTTATAGGGTCATTGGTAAATGTGCCCTTACTTTAGTCATTCTGACCTAGAGTTGGTGGGCTACGCCCTTTGCGGGTTTCTTGGGAATTGGGCCCTGAAAGCCGTCATTCCCTAATGGTTATCTGTATGCCACGTGTCAAATCCAGGTGAGTCCATTTGGACTCCTTTTAGGGTTACACGTGTCACACTCTCATTGGACCACGTGGCGCGCGGGGGTAAAAATCCCCAAATGATCTGCCCCTCACAGGGGTGACATGGCACGGCACGTAACGCATTTGACAAGTGTCACGCATGCATGGGTGAACAATGTTTTTTACTGTTTACTTTCTAGAGTAAATTTCAGAATTGCCCTTGAAAATTTTACCCCTCTATAAATAGTTTTCACCCCCCTCATTTTCGCATATTCGTAAAAAATCTTTGAGAGAGAATATTTGACTTTCGAGAGAATCTGATTATTACCGCTTGTGTTCAAACCGCCTACATAGCAGCCGTCCCCAACAAATTCAACAGTACTTTCATTACAAGGTAACCGCCTACTTTCCCCCCCTTTCGTCTTATTTTTAATTACCATCTATGTTTGTTATTCCTTGTTTTCAAAATGGTTTCACAAACACACACGGCACGACCTAGGATGGTTGTCAGTCGGTCACCCGAGACGGCTGAATCTAGGACTATGAATGTCGCCTTCCCCCAATTGGACTCCCCTCTATAAACATCTTCGAATTCGACCGTCTCTGTGTCTGTGCAAGACACTATGGTTAGAATTAAAAGGACAGCCCAGGGCCCCATAGATGGTGATGAGAACAACTGCACTATTAGGGTGCCCAGAAATGAAGTTTTTGATTACCCACTCGGCCCTCCAAGTACGCCGAGTGACTCCATCTTGAACGAGTCAGATAATGAATTTGGCAATGACGCATTCGGCTCTAAACAAGGGTCATCCCAGTCGGATGCTGCCTCAGGCGGTTCTAATGCTAGAACAGAGCCGCCTGTGGCCCATGAAGAGACACAGAGCTCTGAGTCCGTTTCCAATTCTGAGGAGGAGGCCGCCTATGCTGAAAGAGGACAAGGGGAGGCTTCTTCCTCTTCTCAAGAAGAGTTCACCCCCTACTTCACTCACGTCTCTACTGGAACTCAAAGAAACATGCTCAAGAAGCTAAATGACTTCCGAGCCGCTCATGTTATGGGGGCCGGATATGAATCCATGTTCTTGACTTGGATGATACGGTCGTCTGGCCGTTTCAACAAAGCTATGGAGATAAACGCTTCGGATGTCACGAAGTAGATATATAGGCGGGCTTAAGGTTCCCCTTAGATCCGGATGTAGAGAGAATCCTGGATGGGTACCGCCTAGGGTTTGGCAGCTTGCCATGGGTGAACATACTTGGGTATGTCGCCTCCTGTAAAATGCAAGGGGTAGAGCCGGGCTTCGAGGCCTTTGCTTCAATGCATTACTTGAGCAAGACTCCTAAGGCAGCCGGCCCTGGATGGTACACCCTTGTTTGGGGGTTTTTATGTGTCCTACGGGAGAGTTACAATTTCCTAGTATGCTCCTTCCTTCGCCTGTACCTGCACAAATAACGGAATACTCCGGCTGGGGCTGGGGTGTTCCGCCTCCGAAGATTAAGTTAGTCTCTTTCTAAATGTGGAAATAAGACAATAAATGCTTCTCGATTTGAGAGCGTTTGCAAGGGGATTTGTGTTTTGTTGGTTTGTGGGGAAATGATTCGATCCCATAAATGAGGTCTGCCCTTACTATTTATAGTAGGGGAGAGCTGTACCTCAATTAGGGTACAATGACACGTGTCGCAAAGGGATTGGGCCTTTGCTGACCGTTGCAAGCTTGACACGTGGCAGGCCTTTATTGGGCCACGTGTCTTAGGGTATTTTTACCCTAAACATCTGCCCCTCACAGGGTGTGACGTGGAATGTCCACGTGTCACCTGTGACAAGTGTCAGACACATGGGAGCAGACGGTTCGTCTTCTTCCCTCCTTTTTTCAAATTTTAAGTTTTTAGGGCAGGAGGCATCGTTTCGCCTTCTGCTCCTTTCTATAAATACAAGACACGCTCTCTCTCCTCCTCACTTTGCATATTTTTCAAAAAATTTCTGAGAGCGCTCTGCTACCGGATGCATTATTTCCTTAGTTTTCCTGCATCCGACACTTTCAAATTAAGCACATCCGGCGACCGGTTGGGTGCCCTTTCTTCAATCTCTAAGGTACCGGCTGCCCTTTTTCTTTTTACTTTCGCTTTGACCATTTCAAACATTTCACCCCATCCGGGTTGCATGCCGCCTGGGAGGCCCTTAACCCATATCCCATTTGTTGAATCTTCTCCCTCAGCCGGCATAGCCCCGTCTGAGGGGTTTTCAATTTTAAAGCATTATGCATTCTGAACACCCTCATCCGGCTTAACACCGTCTGGGGTACTTCTGAGTTTATCAAGAACCGATTTCAAAAACCCCAACCGGTTTTGAAGCCGGTTGGGTCATCATCCTTGTCTCTTTGGATTTTTCAAAGAAGTTTTTAAGATGCGTTCAATGCACCCCCATCCGGAATTTTACCACATGGGGGTTATTTAAGCAGCATTTTCTTTCTTAATCAACATTCAAATAGCCCCCATCCGGTATCTAACCGTATGGGGGTCGTTTGAGCAGCCTTGGCTTGTTCTCAAACATCATTCAAATAGCCCCCATCCGGTATTTCACCGTATGGGGGTCGTTTGAGCAGCCTTTAGCTTTTTCTCAAACATCCAAATATCCCCCATCCGGTAATTCACCGTATGGGGGTCGTTTGAGCAGCCTTTAGCTTTTTCTCAAACTTTCAAATTGCCCCCATCCGGCATCTTACCGTATGGGGGTTGTTTGAGCAGCCTTTAGCTTTTTCTCAAACATACAAATAGCCCCCATCCGGCATCTAACCGTATGGGGGTTGTTTGAGCAGCCTTGGCTTTTTCTCAAACAACATTCAAATAACCCCCATCCGGTATATAACCGCATGGGGGTGGTTTGAGCAGCCTTGGCTTTTTCTCAAACAACATTCAAATAACCCCCATCCGGTACATAACCGCATGGGGGTGGTTTGAGCAGCCTTGGCTTTTTCTCAAACAACATTCAAATAACCCTCATCCGGTACATAACCGCATGGGGGTGGTTTGAGCAGCCTCTAGCTTTTTCTCAAACAACATTCAAATAACCCCCATCCGGTATATAACCGCATGGGGGTGGTTTGAGCAGCCTTGGATTTTTCTCAAACAACATTCAAATAACCCCCATCCGGTACATAACCGCATGGGGGTGGTTTGAGCAGCCTCTAGCTTTTTCTCAAACAACATTCAAATAACCCCCATCCGGTATATAACCGCATGGGGGTGGTTTGAGCAGCCTTGGCTTTTTCTCAAACAACATTCAAATAACCCCCATCCGGTACATAACCGCATGGGGGTGGTTTGAGCAGCCTCTAGCTTTTTCTCAAACAACATTCAAATAACCCCCATCCGGTACATAACCGCATGGGGGTGGTTTGAGCAGCCTCTAGCTTTTTCTCAAACATACAAATAGACCCCATCCGGCATCTAACCGTATGGGGGTTGTTTGAGCAGCCTCTAGCTTTTTCTCAAACATACAAATAGACCCCATCCGGCATCTAACCGTATGGGGGTCTTTTGAATGAGTCCATTTAATATATCTGATCCTTTTTTCTTCATTTCAGCTTCAAACACATTCGGAGACTTCCGCCTGTGGAGGTTTCAAGCCATCATCTTAATCAAATCTCAATTTTCAAAGGTACCGCCTGCATCCTATATTTGTCACTTTCTTTTATTTCCGGTTGCATAGCATTAGGACATGGACTACACCAATGCACACACAGCACAGCCTACGACTGTGGTCAGCCGGTCACCAAGAACGGCTGAGTCTAGGACTGGGATTGCCGTCTGGGGGTGCTTGGAACAACCTTCACCTACATCGAATCCGACCGTCTCTGTTCATGTGCAGGACAGAATGGCTCGGATTAGAGTGACGACAATCGACCCTGACTACCAGCCCGATGACACAGTCGCTGACCCGGCTGACCCTATAAATCAAGAACAAGCCGAGGAACCGGCTGAGGCAGGTCCTAATGAGGAAGTTCCACAAAATTCTCCAAGTACACCTAGCACCCCGGGTGACAGTATCTTGGATAGCTCTGGTTCCAACGGTGAGGAATCCCGAGAGGAAGCCGGCGAGGGATCCGAAGAGGAAGCCGGCGAGGGATCCGAAGAGAAAGCCGGCGAGGGATCCGCGGAGGGATCCGGAGAAGGGTCAGCTGATAATGGGGAGTCCAGCCCTTGCGCTGATGAAGAGTCTTCTGAAGAGGTGGCTCCCATTGAAGAAGAGGCCTACAAATGGCCGGCTAAGGGTGACCCGACTGATATGACCATGTCCGCCAGGGATGTGGTCACTTTGAACGCCACACTCCCTGCTTTTTTGCAGAAAAAGCCGGTTGGAGAGGGATGGGAAGTGGTGGTCCCACCTGTAGAGGCAAGCGTCGTTTGGACCGACGACGTTGAACATGCTGACAACTTCTTCGGCTGCTATGAGGCGGCGTTTACAGCCGGCCTCCGGTTCCCCCTCCATCACTGCATAAAAGCCATACTGAAGGGGTATGACCTAGGTGTATGGCAGTTGACCCCTAATTCATGGGTCAACATTCTTGGATATATTGCCGCCTCCGAACTGCAGGGTGTCAAGCCAAGCTGGCAGGCGTTTGCGCACATGCATTATTTAAGCAGAGCGCCGGGTGGGTGGAATGCGTGGTACACTCTCACCACGCTTCCTGAGTACATGATGACCTTGGACAAGCCGTCCAAGTGGAGTAATTGGAAGAGTAAATTTTATGTAGTCTCTTCCCCCTCCC